ACAGATCTTGGCACCGTGATCTGTTTTTGCTTTGAAGAAGTACCACGTGGAATTTGCTTCTCACAACAAAGGGTAAAGTGTTTTCCGTAAAAGATCTTCACTAGGCTTTAGATTGACTGCAAAAGGGAAGAAGGAAGTGGTGTTTCAGATACTTTAATCCAGAATTAAAATAGAGACTCTGCCAACAGATCTCTAAACCATGGAATATGTTTTCATCACTGAGTTTGAAATATCATTTCAGATATCAGATTTATGGTTTGATTTAAAACAGTGTGGCCTAATTGAAGCCAATGGAGCTGTGACAGCTTATGCCAGCCAAGGGACTGGCTGTCTGTTTCAGAGTATTGTTTTCCCACAGTTGTCGTTGTTCCTCAAGACAGTGATAGATCTTCTGGACATTTCAAATATTTGAAGCATTCATGAAGTCTTTTTTAGGATTTTCTCCTACAGTTGTAATATCTGCAAATTTAGATCTCCTTCTCCATGTTTCCCTCTCAACCTTGACATGATCCTTAACAGCATCACTGGTTTATTCAAGTCATCTCTTTATTCTAATGGTAGCACTGCTCTTTCATAATGGTAACCTGGGTCACTTAGTGGTGGGACAGTGCTTGGTGGATGGTCTCACTGCAGGGTGAGAGGTAAAAGAAAAATAGTTTAGGTGATTACAGCAATACCAATTACACTGGGTAAATACTGTCCCATCTCCAGACAAGGAAAAATATAGCAGATAGTGTCTAGTTGTGTTAAAGGGTTTTTCGCTAAGAAGCCTGTGGATACAATTGCTGCAAAGACTGCTTGAATCCCAAAATATGAAGCATGGGCATGTTCAAAGCCTTTGTTGCGGCCAGAGAAGTATTTTCAGGGAGTCGCTCTGAAATGTTTTCTTTGTATAGACCTGATTCTCCTTTGCCCTGCATTCCTGATAATCATTTGTACGTGTGTAAAGTGGGTATCATTTTGCAACGCAATGAAGAACTGGAATAACAAAATCTTCTGTGGTTATTACATTTTGAATTAGTTTAATATTGCTATCAAACACTTGCAGCTTGGCAAAGAACTGCATCTGTTTTACATCTACCTTGATCAGGCATCCGTATTTTCTGCCTTTGAAATATTGAGGCTGAATTCCTGCAATGCAGTGTACACTTACTTACCCAGGAATTTCTGGTGCCCACTGCTCAACGCCATGATTTATTGTTATGACAAGCGGCATGGCTGTAAGCAGTAGCTTAATAGGAAGCATGAAGCAGGACCCAGATCTGGTCTAACTAACCTCAGGAGGTCTCCTGAGGGCAGCTGAGGCAAACTGATTTAGGAATCTTCACTGACTGAGTAGCAAACACCTGTACCTTCCTGTGCAAGTGTTAAACCACCTTGGTGCTGTTCATTTTCTGGTCACGGCCATGCAGTCTGATGGCTCTAACAACCAGTCCCACCACAGCTAACACCTCAGGCTCTTACAAAGTGTGAGGTGACTCCCCATCTCCAGCTGGATCTCAGATTGGTTGGAGCAGAGAAGTATTAATCTCCTGAAATCAGGGTATTTCTGAGCCTCCACATCTAAGAAACATTGAGTAAGCTCCATGTGGTCAGGATGGCCATCTATAGTTTCTGACTGTGGTCAGAAGCTTCAAGTGTTTTGTTGGTTATGAAGTGCTTTACAGGGTTTCTAGCACCTTTTCAGTGTATTTGCTCTCCTAAGCCAGAGGGTGGACGTGATTCTAACCCAAACTGTTGTTCAATTGCTTAAAATAAAAGTATCATTTCTACAATGTAGTAATTAATTCTAGAGAATAAGTCAACAGCAAAATGTGCACATCACTAAAATGCAAATCGGTATTTTATTTTGACTGAATGATCTTACTTACACACTTCAGAGAGAACAATCCAAAATGGAAGTCACAGATTTGAAATAGTGGTCACTTTTTTGAAGAAAACATGAAAAAACGTGTATATATTTTCATCCTGATTACTATAATGTAATGAGGAGCCTTGTAAAAATTCACCGTATTTAAAAACGGAAAGGGTAGAAAGGGGACAGGGAACTACAACAGTAACAGCATAAGTGGGAAAATATTGTAATGTTGTTCAGTTTCTTCAGTATATTGGCTATCATTAGAGCAACAAACATGGATCTCCAGATGTTTGTGAAGAGTCCAACAGTTATATTTTATATCTATGGCTGTAGTAACAATTTCTATTCAGCAGCCTAGAAAAACATTTCATGTCACAACAGGAAAGAAATATTACTGTGGGTTTTTTTTCTCCCTCATCCCCTATATAGCAATTCTGAATACTTCAGTCAAAGCCAAACAAAAAATTATGGTTAAAAAATTAAAATCACAATCACTGGGGGCAGGACATAAATGTGCAGATGTTCTGTGATGTTGAAATACTTTTCAGGCAGCAGTCACAATGATGTTGTGGAGAGGATGGGGAATCCATCAGAGCTGGACACTGTCAAAAGCATTCCCTAAGTTACACTGCCAGAAAAGGCACTTACCTTTTCATATTCCCTTAAGAAAAAAAAAAATCTAAACCAGAAAAATGATAGTGGCTTTTATATAGCTCTCACTATTATGTTAGTAAGGGATTGACTATAATCTGTTAAGTAAGCAGTATAGATCTGGAGTTTACCAGGCAACTTTGTTGTCTCAAAGTAGTGCACAAAACGTCAATTCTCCTTCTCCAGTGAGGAAAATTTTTACAAGCTTCTTAGCTGTTACTGTTTCAGACACCTTAATGCTGTTATACAAATGCCTGCCTGAAAATCTTGTTTTCCACACCTACCTGGTCAGACAAAGGGACACAATGAATAACATCAAACCAGCAGAAGGCAAGTTTTTAAAGGCACAAGTATATCTATTACATTAGTGTCTGTGTATGCTGACAGACCTCCTGCCTCCTAGAGCTGCATGCACGCAGGCGTTTCTTGAAGGTGATGTGGTTGGAGCACTGTATGCTACCAGTGCTCCAGTGGGGAAAGGTTGGCATGTGTTAAGGGAGACAGGGATGAGGCTGGAAAGTGTGCACTGAGGGGAATCACAGACCTAAACCCACATCTCTTATGTGTTGGCCTCTTCTTTAGCACCAGAGCATGTTTGTTGTATGCTCATGTCAGGTATCAGATCCTAGTTCTCCGGAATGAAATGCACCATTAGTAGGTAAAGACAATTCATTAGGTGCAACATAGCTGAACTGTAATTAATTATCAGATATTATTTCTCACAAAATACATCTCCAAAGTTCCCATTGCATTAGCCACAATATTGGACTGATGGAGCATAAACAAGGGTAATGATAAACATTGGTGAGCGGAGTTGGGAAGGGTTGGTTATTAGGGTACCGGTGTGTTTCATGCAGAGTTTATTTAACAGTCTTATTAATGATCTGGAAAAAGAAGTGAATAACCATTTAATTAAATTTGCATTTGATACTAAATTAGAAGTTGCTGCAGACATCTCCGAGGGCAGAGAAGTAAATCAAAAAGAGCCAGAAGCGTTAGAAGCATGTACAACAAAGAAGAAAATGAGATCTGGCATGGAAGGAAGAAAAAAACAAAGCAAGCTAATCTCTCTGGAAGCAAGTAAACTAAAAGCTATCAGTGGAGCAACTCTGGAGAAAGAAGTGTTGAAAGAGATGTAGGAGTGTTAATGGACGATATATTCCATCACAGGTCTGGTATATGTTTACAAAAGCAACAGCATCAAGGAGCAGGGATGTAATAGCCCTTCATTGTAGGGCTCTAGTGAGAACCATCTATAATGTAGCACTCTGTTTTGGGCATCCTGTTATCAGAGAGATATAGACAAATTGGAATGAGTTCAGAAAAGAGCCATAAAAATGATCCTGTATCCCTGGAGATAATGACTTATGAAGAAAGATCACAAGAAGTATATGTGTATGGCCTTGTCTGGAAGATGACTGAAGTAGGGCAGGAAAACAGTCTGCAAATATGTGAAAGGAAAAAGGGAGGAGGATAATTCATCACTGAAACTATTAGTAATAGGATGAAATAATAAGGAACAACAATAAATTTTAAAAGGGCAACTTCAGGTTGAACATAGGGAGAAATCTCTGACAGTGGAATTTGGGTTAGTTTGCAGAGAAGTTTCCCAGAGGTAAAAGCAAAAGCTGCATTCAAGTCATTTAAAATCCAATTGGACAACTCACTAGAAAATGCATCCTGCTACAGGGAACAATCTTGCATTGCCTAGGGAATAAGCTGGATGGCTTAATAGGACATTCCACACTCAAGTCTTTATGACTGTGGTATTTCAATATGCATGGTCAACTATATGGGGAAAGTATACTTTTCTTTTGCTGTCAGGCCTGATAATACCAACACTTGCACGCAAATATAACTTTTAAGAAGTCAAGCAGCTCTGCTGACAGCACTGCTCTGCTGATGTGCAAAAACATGAGCCTGATCTCTTCGTGCTTCTGCAGGATCAGAGCCCTAGATCACGCAGTTGTCAATATCAAGGCAACCACATCTCCAGTGGGTAGGCAAAGCAGTGTGCAGGAACAAAATGAGAGTAGGAAGCTCCAGTGAGAACATAATATTATTGTTATTCTATTACTGCTGTAAATGGCTGATACTGCACACTACAGCTCTGTTGACTGTTCACCTTTTCCAGCTTTCACCTCTGCACAGGGTTCATTAGGCACCATTAAGACTGCTTCCTCTGTGCTATTTTTACCACGTTTGATACTTTTAAAATATCCTACATAGTTTGTTGAATGAGCAAAGAGATGAGCTGAATTGAAAGCTTTGCCCTCCCTTGTGTGAAGAAGGGACATCAAAGGCTCTAGATGTAAATGCACGTGCAGCTGACCCCAATCATACACAATAGCATAACGTTGAATTCCCTTCACCCTTCAATTGCCTCCCTTCAGAGGCAAGCTCGCAAAGAAGTCTGCTCCAATACAGCATGGTTTTTAAGTGTTTCTCTCTGTGTGTTTTCTCTTCTCGTCTCCCATTCCCATGGGCCCAGCAGCCTGGTGGGGCCGCAGTCCAGCACCCGAGCCCCAGGACTCTCTAGCAAGGGATCCAGCAGCAGCAGCTCCAGTGAGTCCGAGAGCAGCTCGGAGTCTGACTCAGAGAGCGAGAGCAGCTCCAGCGAGAGTGACGGCAGCAAGCCCTCGCATTACTCCAGCCCAGAGGTAAGGGCTCCCACTCCTTGTGATTTGGGATGGCAATCCGCTATTACGCCCATTCAGACCTTTTTTCCAGATCAGGAGCCTGGGAGGAGATGCAGGGAACCAAAATGGATGCAAAAAGTACAGGGGTCCTCCTCCTGGCACCCTACGAAACGAAAGTGGTGGGGGATGCTGGGACAGATTAAAGCAAAAGAAACAAAAATGAAGAAGGAAATGACCGTGTGATATTTCCCTCGAAATGGAGCCCTTCACAAGGCTCACAGCTTGCTGGAGGTTTTGTGCATCTCTGCCTCCATAGCAATGGCTTTCTGACTGCGTAAGTCCTGGTGCGGGCTCTCAGCACTGCAAGGGAACTAAAGGCTTCTCCACACAGGGAAGCTATTATGAAATCATTTTGAGGGTGGATTTTTAAATCAAAATAGTTGTTTTTCACTCACGCACGTCCCTCACCTCACTCCCCATGTGAATTATTCTCCACTGCTGCTGCCTTTGTGTGATTTATTTTAATCCACCTCCAGCATGGACTAAACTGAATTACTCATGGTGCAAAACATAAAGCCCAAACTTGCCATCTGGAAAGTTAGCACTGAAAATTTCCACATGCAGACAAGCCCTGGCCGAAGTACAGTTAAGCTGCCAGTGCTGTGCCACCTTCTGCTTTCACTTCTACACTGTGCTAAGCAGAAACTACAGGCTGCTTTCCATACTCTGTTCGTCTACCACACGACATTTTTATGTGTTTTGGTCAATACACACCTTCAGTATAAAACTGTGAACTCCACAGCCTTATCACATGCATTAATATATGTAAAAATATTCAAAATCTAGTGACAAGATTGTAAATACACATAAAATACAGACAGTGTATTTTCCTGTTCCACATAAAGCATCCCCTCACTGGACTCCTCCCCTGACAACTAAGCCTCACAGATTCTCTCACCCTGAAACATTATCCTGAATAACCAGCAAGCCTTTCCTCATGTTTGCTCAGTATTTAGGGCCATGTTTCCTACCAAGGAAAATGTACCACTCACAGAAATGTCCTGTATTTTTCTATATTCTATACACTCTATATTTTTCTCAGGTTTTGTTCCTTATTTACCACTTCTCTTCTTCTATTTCCTCCAAAGTGCTTTCAGATTCATTTCAAGTTAATTTTCCTCTCTTTATCCCTTTCCTAAGGCTCTCTCTTCAGTTTTCCTGTTTTCTTCCTTCCAGCCTCTCTTCCCTCTCTGCACTGTCCATTTCTCATTTCCCATCCTGAGTCCACTCATCTGACCCATCATGACCTTGCTCTGTCCATTCCCTGCTGGGTTCGGCGTAGAGGTCTCACACTCTCCTCTCCCAGCAGGAATCTGAGAAGGTAGAAGAAAAGGAGTGAAGAGAACCCTAGTAGGAACCATAGTAGGAGAGAAGGAACTACAAGATAAAAGGGGAAGAAGCGTAGTACCCAGATAAGATAAAAGAGCATCTAGGCAGATAGCTGTGATGCTTGGACCTGAGAGTAGCAATTCCTCAGGGAATATGGAAAGTGAATTAACAGAGGCAGGTCATGGGCTTTGTAAAGTCAAGCAAGGGACGGAGAGCCATGGAAATGTGAAGGAAGTGCCTCCTCTTAAAGCATTTTATAGGTATCCTCTTGAAATAGTGGAACTACTTTTTTATAGAGTCTGAGTTATCACTGATTAGTGTCACAAAACAGCTGTGTGGCTCCAACAGCTTGTTTGTCTCTTTGCATTGCATTTGAGTGGTTTGCATTCTAAGGCATGCTGTACAAAACACACTTGTATGTGTGCCATCACAAAAATGTGATGGCTGCAGTGGTTTCTGTAGCGCGTTCTTTTGAATACAGGAGAAGTCATGACATTCACCAGCATAGGATCACCATGCACCAGGGCAGTAGGATATCTGTGCTTTTCCTAAGGCCCCGTGTTTTCCCAAGCCTATTACATGACTGATGGCACCAATTCAAAACTTCTTTATGTGACATTTCTGAGTAGAAGCCCTGTCTGATTTGCATTAATGCTTTAACTTACAATTAGGAACCCAGTGAAGCTACCTTCCTAAAGTACATGCCATGTTCTTAACCTATAAACTGAGAAATACAGGTCCTTGGGAGCTCTTTTAAGGAGGTCCTGTCCATCTAAATTTAATTAGTGGTCTCTATCCCATGGTCTTATGATTAATTTCATCTACTGAATAAGACAGAAGAAGCAAATACATCTTTGTCATTGCATACGCATAAAATAATGAATTCAAGTACAATGAACTTGAGTGCTCCAGCACAGTGTTGGGCAGAAAATCCGTATCTGCAGGTTGGAAGGAATTTCTGGAAATCTGCAGGATATTATGAGTTCTCCCTTCTTTTCTGTAAACAGAAATATCATCTGTGTATACTTGCAAGACTTTTATTTCTAGGACAGGTTATCTTCTGTATTTTAGTTTATATAGAAATTCAGCTGCTGTTACAATTCTTCTGTATTTTTTCCTCATCTCGTGTTGAAATCTTTGAGTTGTTTTTCCGTGTCTAAATGCAGTTGCCTAGAGTGTAAAAGCAGCTCATTGTAAAGTATACATATAAAATAGATTAGATGAATTGCACCCTAAAAGTGTCTGTTTCTTTCCAGTGACTATTTAGAGCCTGTAGTGACTAGCTCAGCTGTCTACACTTTATGTCTGCAGTAAACTAAGAATAATGGCTGAGCTAGAACAGGAGACAACATTCAGACTGGTTTCAGTGATGTGGACAAATTAAGGTGCCTCAGACAGTAATGCAAGTAGTTACAGTTTTGTGAACTGCCAAACCTGAAATTATGAACAAGGGACTGAGACTTCTATCTCCTGTTTCTTTGCTGAGGCCATGAATTCTTTGCATGACCTTAATTAATGTCATAAATGAAGACTCTGGAAAACAGAAACTTCCTTCCAATTATTTCAGATGGTAAAAAAAGAGTGTAGATCTCAAGTCCACAGAAGAACCACATTTCAAAAGCTAAGGGTTTGGTTTGTTTGTTCTTTGTTCCCATTATCTTCCAGACCTTTAGTAAGACCGAGCCTCATTAGACAGCTGAGGAAGTCCCACTGTGCAGGAAGGCCTAGAGAAGGCAGGAAGGGAGCAGAGAAGACACTGCATAGGAGAGAGCATCAACAGTAACAAGGCTAGAAGAGAGAGGTGTGCTGTCCTGGGTGCTACCAACCCCTACACAAGAGTTGCAGTGTCCCTTATAGTCTTTGCTGTAGTGACCGGTTCATAACCATCAAAGAATTTTTTTCTGTGCTTATTCCATCATCCCCAATATTCTCTTCAGTCTCAAGTCCACACGTGACTGACCTGGTCAAGCTGAATTGATTGGTTATGCTTTTCCCCATCTTCCTTCCTCATCAGCACTGTCCATCCAATCTTTCAAGTGCATGGACATCAGTACAAGTGTCTGAGCAGCCACCGCCTGCAGATGCCTATTGTTCCCTCAGGTGTTGTACAGAATTGGCTCTCCTCTCCTTAGCCCAGAAAAGAGGAAAGCTGTGTGCACCTAACTAATCACCTAACTGGTGAGCATGCCCCAGTCACCTCTTCCTTCTTTCGCCAATAGCCTTCCTCAGTGAATCCAAAATGCTGTAGTTTTAGGATTGAGTTTAGGAACAATGTTATGTTCTTGCTTCCCACTTTTAAGTATCACAATTTGACTTCCTGAGTGGTACGTTCAGAAGAAAAGGGGATTTTTTTCACTAGACCAACTATGGAAACTATTTTTACTTTGGTTTATAGGATTCAGGATCACCATTGCACTATTTTTTTGCTACAAATTTCTCCCTTTCCTCCTGCGAATACTTTGAGACAGGAGTAACCTCTCACTTTATGTGTGCACCTATACGAATCTCCAGTTCTAGTTTGATGAAGTGCTAGCAGTAGCACTAACAGTAGTGGCAGCATCTGATGTTGACATCATCAACATCAACATCTTCATCACCTGTCTTAACTACAATGAAAATGCCACGTGTGTATAAGGGATTGCCCTGGATGAAATATTTGATAGTAGGACAGCACAACTAGGTAAATATTTGATAGTAGACAGCACAAGTAGGTTATCATAGGGGGTAAAATAATATGCTGATTTGCAATTGACTAAATATACTGCAGGGATTGCTCACTCGTAGTCCACAGTGGGTTAAATAGATGCACATTACAGACAATACAATCTCTCAATGAAGGGGGTGTCATGCTTCAACTTTATGATAATACTAGCTACACTTTAGTTCCCTCTTTGTAATAACAAGCATAGAGTTATCCCATTATGCTCATATTGTTTAACAGCCCTTCACCACAGAAAGCCTTTCTGGATAATGAGTTTTGACAAAGGTTTCTTTTGGATGTATGGCTCTGATTGCATTTGTAGCCCAGAAGACATCTGAGATATATAGACATACTGTGTGGGAGTCAGCCCACCCAAATTTGGACACTTGTACTGTCGATACCTACATCTGTTCATCACTTCAGCTTCTTCTTTACAGATAGTGGAGAGGAACAAACATTTTCTAGGGCCCAGCTCATCTGACCTATTTCAGATGCCTATTTCAAGATGAAATGTTTCACATCCTGCAAGAGTAGGCCACTGACTGAAGGAATTTGTTGACTAGCTCAGATTTTGTTGTCTATACTGTACAGATTAATCCATCCACAGTTATTAAATAAGTGTATCGCATCCTTCTGTTTCTCACTGAAGCCCAACGCATCTGCATTTGTGTTGCATTAGTTCTTGGAACGATCCTGCTGATAGAGTTTTCCTGGTTTGGGTTTTCATGCCAAAACCACAAATGGATTTTGGTACAAAAACAGTTCATGGCAAGTCAGCTTCACCACTGACCATTGTTCCTACTGCTGCCAATCATCTGGCTATCACCAGCTTTACCCCAATTAAAACTGCCCAGCGCTTGTCAAGGCCTTGAGGACAGTATATTTCTCTTGCACAAGACTATCTTTCCACCATATCCCTCAACACCTTTCCATCCTTACATGCTGCTGAGGCTATCTCACTTCAAGCAAATCAACTTTTCTTCCACAGAAATGTGTGTGACCTGTACAGGAAAGAGATTCAGATTGAAGAATTAGGGATTTTTATTTCCTACCACATATAATTACTGTTGGGCATGTAATGTGCACTGGTAAAACCTTGCAAGTGAATCTTCCCAATGCTTTTTCTCACTGGGTCTGTTCTTCCCTCTTGACTGTTCTCTTGCAGCGATTTCAAAGTACAGTAGTTTTCAGTTAGAGCAATCAATTGAATAAACTGCTTTCAAAAGTGAATTGGCATCACTCACGTACATTGACTAAATTCTATCAGGGTCCCCAAAATACTGAGAAAAAAATATATAAATTTTGATTTTTCAGAATTTGTATTCTTTAAATTTACATTATTGGCTGCAGATTTTTTACTTTTAGCAGACACATTTTAAAGGGTTTTTTTTTTCAGCAGACACATCTTAAAATTTGTTTCAGCCACCATAGGGACTTGAATTTTTATTTAAATAAACCAAGGATATACATCTAAGCCCATGGTTTCAGGAGTTGTGGCTTTAAGAAAACAAGTGTCCTCAAACTCCTGAAAAAATTAGCAAAGTTGGCAATATTGTTGATACATTTTATTAGACTTCATAGTTGGCTTACAGCTTGGTGGGAGTGCAGCTATTCCATCTAAACAGCAGACACATCACTGCAGGAAAGTGCCACATTGACAAGTTATGACACTATAGCAGTTAATCATTGTTTTCTGCTGGTTTACTGTTATCCCTTGAACTGCTGCTTTTGAGAATGACAAGTTACTTAAAGAGGATGGGATGTAACAGAAAACCTGGAAGATTTTTTTTAACTTTCAATCTGCCCTCACTCTGGCCTATAATTATAGGTATATATTTTTTTACACGTGCTTTTGATGTATGTGCTTTTGTTAAATACATCGCCTGAACACAGCAAAGACCTCCATATATAGTGAACCTTTCATTATGTGTAATAAGTCCAGTATATGCATAATGAATGGCATCCATCTCTACTCTCAGCAGCAGTAAAAAGAAAACAAAACAGTTTCTTTCACATAAAGAGTCTTAAAAATACATCTTCGTCCAAGAGAAATGCTTCCCAACCATTTTCAAGATTTACAACTCTGGAAAGAAATTCATCATGTAAGATATTAGGGAGTAAGATTAAGAAAAAATAAACTCAAGGCCATCCAGCAAGCTTCCCATAGGTATTGGCTAGCTGGATAATGAGTAAATTAGACACTTCAGAGGGAGGAGTATTTGTATCATATGAATTCCAATGTCTCACTGTTCTGCTCATTTTAGGAGCCTTTGTTTCCTGTAGAGTGAATAAAGCCCCTCCAGGGTGACTCTGAAGGCACCCTTAGCTATGAAGGAAGCCTGTGCTGCCTTCAAGCAACTCTTTTTAACGGCAGTGCCTTTAAGTTGGAGACTGTCTTAAATTAAGGACTGGATATTCTCTCCTGAGCAAACTTTCTTCCAGAGCATCGATAGTTTTCATGAGCAATAGTCTAGCTGACCAAATTTTGGTTCCAGTTCAGGAAATTAGGGCGCTTTTCACATTGGGTTAGCATGTGGCTTAGAATATGGTTGGCCATCCACTCCACCTTTTTTTTTTTTTTTCTCCTTTCCTATTCATCTTCTTCCATTCAAATTACTGAGTGTAAGAAGCACTACAAAACATTTGCATGTTGTTCTGTAAGAACATTTTCTGAGCTGTGGTTACATTTGAAATCATAATTATCCCACCACTTCACTGTCCAAACACCACTATATTTTAGATGCTCTCTTATAACTTGATCATGTTGTGACAGGAACAAAGAGGAGAACTAACAGCTACACAATACTTACCAAATGAGCACTTGACAATACCACCACAGAGCAAATGTTTGCATGATCTCACAGAATTACAACATCAATACCAAACAGACTATATGCACAGCCTGGTTAGCACTCCCTCCTACCACTATATGCCTCTGTATGTTGTTTAAATACTTACTTTATTTAATGCGGTGGTGCAGGACACAAAATATACAAACCTAGCTTTCCTGCTAGGTCAGCCTCAGCCATATGCCTGCCCTGTTTTCCACCTTTCCTATCCCCATTATATTTTCCTCTGTTTGGAATCTCAGGAGTCTTTCCCAGTAAAGCTGAGGCCAGTACGAATCATGCCAAGAAATTCTGACTCATGGAATCCATTTTCCTTCCCAGCCTCCTCCAGAAACCAAAAACATCCCACCTCCTGGGGCATGCCTCCCATTTCCCAGCCGTGCAGCTGAACCAAGGCTGCCATTGGGCAGTACAGCACATCCTCCTTGCCTGCTGACCTGGCAGCCTTACCTTTCCCACCCACAGCCTGAGCCATGGGGTGCCATGGGGTGCCATGGGTGCCATGGGGTGCCATGGGGTGCCATGGGGTGCCATGGGGACTGGGGTGACCTCTTGCTAAGGGTAAAACCTGTGTTACAGGTGTTGGGTGGCACGGGTGTTTTGGTGTTCCTGAGGCTCTGCAGGTGAGGGCAGCAGGATTCGGCACTAAGCGTATTGCCATCTGCTTTCCTTTCAGCCTGAGCCACCCTCATCTAACAAGTGGCAGCTGGACAAGTGGCTGAATAAAGTCACCCCACACAAAGCACCCATCCTGACCCCCCATGACGGTTCGGCCCTTGAAGCCCACCCCTACTACGGCCACGTGAAGGCGGAGCGGCAGGAGGACGAGAAGACCCCGGCCCCAGACCCAACTGAGCACCGCGGAGGGGAGAGCCGCACCGCCGCCGCCTCCACCGCCGCCACCGTCGGGGACGGGCCGCGGCCCAGGACCGCCAACAAAGCACCGGGCAGCAAGGGAGGACGCCAGAAGTCACCCCCCGCCGCTGACGGCGGGCCGCCCAGGAGGGCAGCGGGGAAGAAGGCACCGCGGCGGGCCGAGAGGACCGCCGCCGGAGACGGCGCCCACTGCCGTGGGGCAGAGGAGCCCGCAGGGAGCCACGGCTTTCTGGAAAGCGCCGGCAGCGAGGCGCCCAGGGCCCGGCCCGGTGCGAGCGTCGGCGGTGCGGGCTGCAGAGCGGGGCATCGCCGGGAGCCCCGCTCGGCCGCGGTCGGTGAGAAGCGGCGGGCCCGGGGGCCGAGCAAAACGGCGCCCAAATCCAAGGAGTTCATAGAGACCGAGTCCTCGTCCTCGTCGTCCTCCTCCGAGTCGGGCTCCGATTCGGAGCGGGAGGAGCGCCCGCTGCCCAAGGCGCAGGCGGCGGCCGGGGCCGAGCCGCATGCCAAGGACTTGGGGACGGGAGCCGCCAGCAAAGCCCACGGCGGCTGCAGTGCCTTTGGCTCCATTAATGCCAGGACTAATAGTGAAATAGCAAAGGAGCTGGAGGAACAGTTTTACACCCTGGTTCCTTTCGGTAGGAATGAGCTCCTGTCTCCTCTGAAAGACAGTGATGAGGTAAAGTCGCTGTGGGTCAACATTGACTTGGCTCTTTTGTCCAGGATTCCAGAGCGTTTGCCTGAAGAGCCGCTGGCAATGAGCGCCGGAACAAACCAGGCAGCCAGCATCCCGCAGGGTAGTAGTGCTGAGCTCCCTGCAGAGAAGGGCTTACCGAAATCTAGAAGGAAACGCAAGGTGAGCTCTGGGGGAGTGGGGGTGGCCGCTCGGAGCAGGGAATTGGGGCACAGCCCCAGCATCGCTCGTGCCCGCGTTGCTGCTCAGCAGCATGTCCTCGCCAGGCCTCGCCTCTGCTCACCACAGAGCAACTGGCAAAGCCTCTGGGGCGATTAAACCCCTGGGCCTTGGAGATGGTGTTGGCTATCAGCACATTGCTTTTTGTGCCTTGGTCAAAGAGAAGTCAGGTAGCTTTCTCTCCTGAGGCTTCTTGCAAAAAAAAAAAAAAAAAAAAAAAAAAAGCTCTTAAAGGCACTGCTTAGTTTGGCATAGCAAATGTAAGTGGCTGTCTTGACCCAGTCTGCACAATATCGCTGCATATTTGCAAAAAGGGAGCAACCCTTTTCCCCTCATATTGACAGCAAGGGGCGAGTCCCTCAGTCCCTGCAGGCAGCCGAGCTCAGCAGGGACTTGCCTCGCGCTGCAGCTTGGTCTGCTCTTACCTCAGGGCTCCTACACCAGCGTAAGAACCGTGAGGGTACCTAATGAGCTGTCCCATTCCCAGGCAGCACTTGCCTCCTGGTCACATCCACCCCTCTGCCATGCCTCTCCTGAACATTTCAGGAGCCACCAGGTGTGCCAGCTTTCTCTTGACAAGGAGCTCCCTTCACCCAAAGGCTGCAGCTGTCCAGTGAGGATGCTTTCCACTCCATTTATGACAATCTGACCCTAGAAGTCACTTTGAACTGGAATCACCATCTGCTCACTTTCTGAACAGTTTTACTGTGTAGTCATCTATCACTATCTGCGCTACCCTACACGTGCAGACTGATCTGCACGTTTCTTGGGACCATTTATCTAAAGCACTCTTCCTTTTTTTTTTTTTTTTCTCCATTTTTTTTTCCTTGTGTTTGTTGTTGTTTTCTTTTAAGTACTTGAAAGTATTTTTTCAGTATCTACCACTGGTGGAGCTACTGCTAAGCTTTGAGATGCATTTATCTGCATTTTCTTCAGGAAGTAGCATGGAAGTAATTGCAGAATACAAAGTGATGGAGACCGGGTCAAAGCAGGGCAGAAACAAAAGATTTACATTCTGTGCTATAGGAAATTTCTTTGTCATATTGCCAGCCCATACACCCAGAAGGAAACAAGGGTATGATAGAAAAGCGGAATAAATGCAGTCATTCTAGAAAAGCTTAATTTGATTTTCTCTGGCACAAATTATGTTTTTGTCTTCTGTCTTAAAGCATTGCTGTTGTTGGAAGTTTTATTGTTACAATAAATACAAGGCATTGCTGGAATACCAAATTGCCCCTCAGCTTGGAATAGGACCGCCCCTGTGATAACTACCATGCAAATACACAGTACTTAATCTACCTTCCCAGAAGACTTAAGGAATAGGACTGATAAGAATAGATCATCAGGCATAACTGCAAAATTAGAGGGAGGTCTTTATCATTTCTATCTCTGTCATGATCTAAAGAAGATGAGGAAAGCAAAGAAAGGAGAGGATAGTTAAGCACTTGAGGTGTAAGATCTTCATTCCTGTGGAGAGTGAACTATGTTAATCCCTCAGCAACAGCCACAGTGGCAGAAAATACCAGAAAATGTTATTGTCACACAGCAAAGCACTGAATACAGCATGATCAAGAGGTCACAAGTAAAACTTGGTCATCATTGGAAATGAGATAAGTGTTAGAAATGGTAAGGGATGTGGATATTGTAGGAAGATGGGAAAACGGAGCCACCAATAGTTAGATGTAAGGAAAGCAAAACAAAGTCAGATAGTGGCAGGAAACATGGGCTACATTCATATGAGTAGGCCAGATGTGGCCAAGATGTAGCATCAAGCAGTGGCACGCAGTCATCTGCTTTGCTTGATTGTTAACATGCTTGCTAATGATGTGAGCCAACTTCTTCCAGACACTTTGTGGCCCCAGCTAGGGACCACATCGCCTAAGGGCCCTTCCCAAAAGGCAGCCTGAATGTGGCATATCATGGTTTGAAGGAGAAGCAAGCTGAGCACATGTATGCAAGCTGTTCCTTTCCAGTCAGCCTTAGATGCTGATCGGCCAGTTGCTGATCTGTTGTATTTGGTAATGCAGGGAATGTCACTGCTGCAAAGAAAAGAGAGAGGGAGAGGCAAGAGGAATGTGGTTAAGCACTAGGCAAGAGAAAAGCACACAGAAGGTGGGCAAAGAGGGCAATATAAAGAAAAAAATATCTGAAGGTGCAGGTGGGAATGTGGTTGAAACAATTCAGGTTTTATATTGTACTCCTTTGTCTACGCACTGCCTCTTTAGATGATGGTTTTTCAAGATGTGAACCAGTCTTCTCTCATCCATATGCTTAAAGAAAGCATCAGAGTGTCAGAAAACCATCATCTGATTTGTCAAAGTACTTTGAGATGTTTAGTAAATGCAACACCTACAAGATATAATTTTTCTCTTTACTCAGTGTGAGAATGAGGAAGAGTACAGAGACATCAAGAAGACTCATTTAGAGCGAGAGAATTCTTCACGATTAGCTGCCTCTGCCCACAGCATCGCAACAGCAAATCACTGCAATGTAAATGAAAATAGGTAAGCATTTTCCTTCTTATTTACCACTGAGTCATACAACTAGTTGCAGTTTAATGTCCTGTGTTATTTTTGCCTGTAATACGAGTTATTTTTTAATTATCACATTTCATGTTGAAAAATTGCCCAGTGCATTCTGCTTTCTTCTGGTTTAATGAACAACTTAGCAGCTCCTGACACATTTATATACTCACATTTTTGTCGTATTGTGCAGAGTTGTTAGTTCAAGTGTGAGGTTCATGGAATGAGTAAGTATAGCTAGAGCAGTGCAGTCATCTGAGATGTATTCTCAGACGTTGCCTTGTAGGCACTGGTTCACTTGGGCAGCCATCTTATGTTTCCTTACAGCATTATAAGTTTCAGACTTTAAGTCTGACTTTATGCCTGGGTTTAAGTTAGTCAACAGTACTTAGATTGAAATTGCCCAAAATACTCAGTTCCAGAATACATATCGTTTTCTGTCAATGTCAGGATATATATTAGGGCGAGACTGCTAAAATTAAAGAATATTTTGATTTATTGCAGTAAGTATTTCTGTTGTTCAGATCACCGATGAGTCTGAACAATTCTTATCATTAGCACTGGCAAAGAATCATGATGAAAACAACCACATATGCTGCTTATTCAAAAGTATGCATTCAATTTCTTTAACCTAGAATAAGTCACATTTCTTAAACTGAAAAAAATCATGGAACAGTTTATTTTACTGTGCATGAATGCACACAGACACACCATTCCTGTTACCACTCTCTGTCACAAGGTTAATTCCGAGCTTCCTGGAAGCAGGGCAGTAATTTGCATTTTGCTTAACATTGTGTTCAGTACTTCTGGTAGTAACTGTGCATTAAGGAAAGAAATATAAAAAAAAAGAAAGTCTTGAATATTTGCTTCTTAATTCTTCCCTCATCTGCCCTGCTTCCCAGAAGTTTGTGTGGTTTATGCTACTGTAGGTCATGCACAGTTATGTCAGCACAGCTGATAGCTGGTAGCAAAAAGAGGAGCAAAAACACCTTCAGACATGACAATTTGATATTGTAGAGTCTGATGTAGAATCATAGAATGATTAAGGTTGGAAAAGACCTCTGAGATCATGTAGTCCAAACACCAGCCCACCCACAACATGCCCACTAACCACATCCCTCAGTGCCACATCCACGCAGTTCATGAACACTTCCCTGGGCAGCCAGTGCCAATGCCTCATCACTCTTTCTGAGAATAGTTTTTTTTCATAATCTCCAACCTGAACTTCCCCTGGCACAACTTACAGCTGTTAGCAACATACAACAACCTTTCCTCCTATGTACAGAATGAGCAAGGCCTTGTTTGATACAAGAGGCCACCGCAGCAGGCAAAGTAACCCTAAATATCTTACTTCTACATCAGGTCCACTATCTGTGAAGTGCCAGCAGATTGGAATGTGCTGTGTGTTGTTTTGCACAGCTTCTCAGGATGACAAGGTTGGGATGCTGTAGTTTGACTACTCACAGTACGTGTAGGTGGGCCCAAGTGCCAGGGGCTTTGTGAAAGACCTGCCACACAAACAGAAATAGCAGGTAGTCCTCAAGCTCTGGTCCAAACTTTTGAGGCTTGGGTACACTTCCAAAGAGCCATGGCTTCTCTTGGATGCTGTAGTCCTGCACTTTGACAGTGATGTATAAACATGGCTAGCCAAGGCATGATTTTGTGTTTGAAAAAGGAAAAAGAAATAACAGCATCAGCCTGCACATTCAAAATAGTGCTGAAGTTCTTATTTTTCTTGGAGGGAAAAGAACAACGCAGCTGTCCACTTACACACCCCAACTCCTTCATTCATAAACAGCTCTTGGTCATTAAAGCAAAACAGTTTGTGTTGTATTTTAGAAGTACTACACTGTAGGAAACAGGAAGAGTTCTGAATTATGATTCATGGCTTCTCTCACAGCTAGTTTTTAAAGATGTGCCAGATAAATGGACAAATGTATGATAAGAGCACATTTAATTAGCTCTGTTCCCTGAAATGATGTGCAGAAATAAAGTATATTTTGTACCGTATTCCGTTGTGCGATTCCATTAAGTGTACACTGTCTGATACAGTAACTATAAAGAAGTGAGAAGTGTACATAAAAAGTAATAGGCTGAATAAAGGGGAATATGACAAGGGAAGGTATTGCTTTAAAATAGTCTGTCTGACCTTAATCACAGTTTTTGTCTTAAATGCAAACTATCTCCTTAAGAATGCTTATTTTGTGTGTATGGCTTTAAAATTACCAGACACGTATTTTCTTTAAATTAGTGTGTCTAGAACTTATTTAGGTGATATTTTTATAGCTTCTCACACAAAGCTTCTCTAATATAAATGAAAATTGAAAATACTACATGGCTTTCTTCTTTACAGTAAAGGCCAGCTCGCATTTCTCTGTGTCTCCTTTTGTCTGCAGTACCAGCCTATTTTTCTTTGTCTTTAAAATCGGCGTTAGATCAGAATAAAGAGTGCTACCAAGGGCTGCCCATTGAGCACAGAGACAACCCAGTCATCTTTAAACACATTTCCTCTCTTAGTTCACGTATGGCTTTATTGCCGTGGCTTATAAATTGTCACCTCTAATAGTGAAATAGGGCTCCATAACCTAAACTTACACTTCAGAGTCTAATCTTCGTCTCCGGCTATCCCTTAAGAGATGGTGAGCAAGTGGCCATTTATCTCTGTGTTTTTTTTCAAGCACTCTGATACAGACTCGATATTAACTCCAGAATTACAATTTGCCTTGAAGGAAAAGAGGATAAACATGATACAAATTTGTAAATGAACTCTTGGTCCCAATATTGTAAGCTTGTTACCAGATACCAATACACTTTATACTGCCAGCAGGTTTTAAATTCAAAGTTTTGGTAATATATAAAACATTTACCTTTCTCAAACCCAGCTTTGTGACACTCCATTACTGTAATTTCCATTTCCAGTTTGGCACTACCAATAAATAAAAATGAGAAAGTGCTTCGGTCACCCGTCTCTCCCCTCTCTGATGCATCAAAACACAAATACTCCAACGATGATTTAACTTCCTCCAGCAGACCTAATGGCAGCAGTCTATTACCTTCCATCTCCTCCAGCAAAAAGCATAAGGGTGAAATCCAGTCACAGCCAAATCTCGGAGACTTCAATGTAAGTTGTACTGTTGTTCACAATATAAAACCCTATCTTGATATTTTTCATTTTGTATTGAATCTAAGATAACTTTGCAGAATCGTATGCTAAAAAGTTGTAGTAATGAATGTGGTACTGTACATTTGGTTTTTCTGTTTTGGGGTTTAGCAAGGCACAGAAGAACAGCAAGCAGGCTGTAAATTGGACAAATAACAAAGGCTGCATAAGCAAAAGGTAAAAGCCAGTGGCCTGGAATTAATGGATTTAGGCCGGCAGAGTATTTGGGGGGCATAATGCAAGGCCCCCACATCCAGAAGTGTGGTGCAGTGTATAAGACCTCTGCTCAGCCACTGCCTACCTGTCAGTGTACCTGGATATAAGTAATTCTCCATGGCTTCCAACCAGCTTTCTCATACACTACTGCTTGCTGTTGACACCAGTGAAAAGCTTAGCATGAGTCTTGCAACTCAGCTCCACCACACCCCAGCATTTAGATGTTTATCCTGTCAGAGAATCTTAATGACACTAAAGGTTTCCAGAGTACCCTTCCTGGTGAAGACTTACTAGTAAATTAGGGGTTAGCCACTGTCTTCAGAGTACAGTAAGAGTGGAAATGGATGTTCCCCTCCATTTATACATGAGCTCTGTGATTGGAACACTGGAATAAAGTGTCTGTTAGCGCTTCTGGTTAAGGAGATTTATATTTCTCTCACCTCTCCAAATAGTATCCTGTCATCCAGCCTGCAGAGCACTGTGGTTAGAAGACTAAGAACAGAACGTTGCCCCTTGCAGCTTTGTGTGAAATACCTAGAAGAAGTAACTTGGACACTGTCATATTGATATTCACTGCTGTAGCATCTAGTCGAGTTGCTGAGGCACTCTTCTGTTGCTATAAAGGCCCATGCTCCTTTCTTTGCTACAGAAGATTTTATCCAGCGTGTATTTGTTTTTAAACAGTATGTTATTTGATAAATAAGAGGTTTCAAAGTTAACTTTTTAACTTTTAAAACATAAGTTTAGAGATTTATAACCCATTCAGACCCACAACGATACGAGTCTTCACTGGATATCCTGAAAACAATGTAAATTTCTTCACAGGCGCATGTGCTGGAAATCAAAAGTAGAAGGTGATTGCTTTATGATCCACACCCTCAGCAAATTAATTTCACTGAGATTTTCTGCACAGCCTAGCAATGCACCATTTGGTCAACATTTTAAAAAGCTTTGCAATAAAATTCTTATGTATTTGATTATTCATCTGAAAATTTTAGCCGTCTGAACCGATCCGGATGTGCCATACAGAATATGAGAGCTCGTGAACTATAAATGTTAAACATAGCTTCCTTTTATCTCTTCCCTTCATGAGGTATCTAGGTGGTGTGCCCGGGTGGTCTCTTGAATTTCTGTCAGGGATCCTAAGCTGGGATATAGTCTTTATTCATTTTAATTTTTTTGTGCATTTCCCCATTACATTTCCATCCTCTACCTGAGGAAGAAGTGGTAATGTTTTCTGGCAGTGGTTATAAATGAAGGGCAAACGGGCTCACCTTGCTCTCTCAGGGCAAAGTAAAATGTTGGTTTGGAAGCTAAAGGCTGGAGATGTAACTTGATCTTCTCAACGGCCAAACTGATCTGTTGTTCCATAATTTCGCTGACTTTGTTACAGAGTGTTTTGATGATTACTAATAGTTCAGCTCCATTTCATCTGTGTATCACATCAAAACTCAGGCCCTTTACAAAGTGCTGTGAGCAGTATCTGTGAATTTGTGGCTGTTAGTCACAGGACAGTTAACACATCTTGCCTGCTGAAATAGTAGAAAAACTAACTGACAATTTACAGCACAATGCAAAGACTATCTGTGGTTTATTAGTTGCTTTTTTGAAGTTGGAAGCTCAATGTCTTCTATGCTGTTTGTTGTCTAGAAAGCAGTTCACACCAATTCAGAAAATGTTCTTCTCTGCAATAAGCCACAGACCCAAACAGAGCCTTGGTCACCTCTGTCCAGTGCACCCAGGGACTGCAGAAGGACAAAACTTATCTTTGATGATATGTAAGTACAGATAACTTTAAAATATAGCAAACAATGTAGCTTTCTGCATTTCAAAAGGGAGTGACAATTTGTTCATCAGGAGCTGAGATATTGCCAGTATTATTATAGTAATACTGTACACTGAACAATGATTGAGACATCGTTTATAAAGTATTCTATTTATCATCATAAATTAAGCCTCTGATCATCAGGAAGCAGTGAGGACTGGCTGTTCCCTAAGGGATGATGAGCCAGGAGCAAAAGGACAGAAGATGGCTGGTGGGGTGGGGGCTATGCCAGCAGGGGTGGTCCAGTCACAGAGACACTATGCAAGGTGATGAGGCAGGTCCAAGGTCAAGCCAGGAAGTCAGATCAGGATCAGGTCTGGTGAGGATAAACAGAGTCAGACATAGTCCAGTGACTGCCAGGTGTGCATAGTGATGAGGTGGATCTGAGGTCAAACCAGAAAGAAAGCCCTAGTGTTGTGCCATGGACTGGCATAAGCACTGTTGTGACAGGGCTGAAGACACAAGCACACCTACAGCAAGCTTGGATAGGGAGTGAAGATTCAGACCTGAGCTTAAATGGCTTTTTTTGGCCCGTGGGCTGAATAGGAACACCTGTGTGAGACACGTCAGGACCATAAAGAGGCCCTGTTAGTGCTTCAGCATTAATTCTGCACACCTCTGACTACAGACATATACATATGCATATCGAGGAGGGTGAGAGGAACTCCCTTCTTGTATGTCCTTTGGAGCAAGGGGAGAGGACAGATGGGAGCCTTGTATCCACAGACCTTGACAGCTGCTTCACTTGTTGCTACTGCTGCTCAGAAAAAGGTGTCACAAAGGCAGAGGGAGAAGCAAGCAGCAGTGGCTGGCAGGAATATCTGAAGGGATACCTGCCCCTCCCCGCTTCCATTGCATCTCTCAAAAATCCCTGCTTTCTTCTTCTGAAAATAATTTAAGCTTGTAATTGTCTTCATTTTCTTTTTGGTAAATTAAAACTGCTGGTTCATTTCCCACAATTGTATAGGATATGGTATCACTTAAAGGTAAAACTGAAGATTGGAACCTTAATATCAAGAAAACTCAGATTTTTTTTTATTATTTTATTTTTGCCTAATAATATTCTGGAATTAAAATATACTGACTTTTCTGGCCAGTGCAGAAGAAATTCTGTTCAAGCTATGCCTCAGACTGCCTGGAGCATATAGAGCTTCATAAGCTGTGTAACCTTGACACACCTTTTGCATTCCCAGAATTTCACCAGTAACATCACTTGCACTTTTTTTTTTACCTAGGGAAACCCTAAGAAAACAGCCCTGTTTTCTACCAGAATGGGGATTTTAATAAATATTATTCATAATAATTGTAGTAATTGTAATGGTCATTTACATTAGCCTATTCTCAGAGACAGCCAGAGGGATGACAATATCTCATTGGGAGAATCCAGGTTTCTTACTATAATATATAAATAATTCCCACAGACTTTAAAATGATGTAACTATATTGTTGTCTGTCAAGAAGAGAAGGCTGGTGAGATTAATTTCTGGGTACATTTCTGGAAGTCATGAGGAGATGTAAATTCAATAAACGTAATCATTCTTTCTGCTCCTTTTGGAGAAAACTCTCCCCTGTGTATGTATCCTCATTTTTGTTCCTTCTCCACTTCCCTCCATGCTATTTTTCAAATTTTTCAACACATTTATTCAGTGATTTCCACTGAGGAAATTTGAATCTGCTTAGAAGCACTACCTAAGTCTTCACATCTCTTGAAATACTTGAATCATCTATAATTTACTTGCCACTGTTCAATTTTTCTGTACCTTAAACATGTACATACATGGCAAAAATGTATCAGTATACCTGGTAAAAGTCAAAATGTAGGATGTGCTCATCTGTTTGGATTAGAGAAAATGCAGTCAGAAACACCTACAATAGAACTATTGTGTCTTCATCTGATTCTCCATCAAGATGCTGACAAAAAAAATGGGGGACCATTTTGTGTTTTTTCCCTCCACAATTTTGTCATAAGAAACCTGCTTTTTCTCACCATCTCTATCATCTAGGAGGCTTTTATCACTTGCTTTCTCCATTAGTGATACATGTGATTTCTCTGGCAGGAATCTTCAGTACAACTGTTTCACCTTTTCAGGGAGAGATACAATAGAACCGTTGCTGTGTAGTGCCTTAGATGTAGAATGTCCCCCAGCAATTTGCAACCCATGAAAAAAAATCTAAAACGCCAAATAAGATAAAACACAGAAGTTAAATATGTCTTAATTTGCCCTTAAAAAACACAAATGTCTACATGCCTGTTGTGCTAACTAGAGGAGGGAGACTTTCTCGTACTATAACTGTTATTCATAAGCTGTATCTAGGAAACACCACCAAATGCCAGCTATTGTAGATATTCTTGATCCTGAATTTACCACAAAAAGAAGTCACTGAAATGGAGCAGATTGGACTGGCTGCAAATGTTAAATGTCAACAAATTTCACTCATGTTAGAAGGATCAAACTAAACAAGGCAGCCAATGTCTTTCAAATCCTTACAGTACCATAGCAGAGGATTTGAAGAAATGCAGTACTGTATATCTAAAGTCACGTAGTAATCCTAATGGCAGCATTTTGTTCAAAATGATGCCCATGAAGTATTTCATCTCATAATCCATGAAGTTTGGAATTACTGTAATCTAGCCATGGCTTTAAAGTCTTCATTTTAATCAGACTCTGTAGTTTGAAGAGACTAAATCTCTTTTATTCGATTTAAAACAATAATTTTTTTGACCAATCAGCATCTCTGCTTTAGTCTCAATTTATTTTCTCCAGATCATTGACAACAGCTGTCACTAGCAATAAATTGGAACACAAGTAGGTCAATAAAAAGTATATCTTGCTTGGCAGAGTGCTGTACACACATGCATCAAAATATAAAAGTAAATATAGCTAAGAGTCTTCAAAAGGCAGCCAAAATATTGCTTTTCCTGAACTGCCATTGTTTACTGCCTGAATGTGAAAGCCCTGAATGTGCTTCAAGCATATCCAGCATGGCACACGTATATGCGACATCCATGTTACTCCCAGTATTAATTCTTAACAAGATTTCCTGGATTTTTGGCCATTTCTGACTCTATGAAGAGAACATTTTAACAGCTACATCATAATGCTTCAAGCCAAATTCAGTCCTGCTGTAATTTAGCTGAATGATAGAATTCCCAATAACTGCATTTAGGAACGAAGTCTGTTGTCCTTGAAGTGATAAGCACTGACATGCTGTGGCTGCCCGAGGGCACAGTCTCACACCTCCTCCAAACGCTGCATGTGTGGTACAAAAAGAGCAGAGCATGCTCAGCTTCTCAATTCTCCTTATGGCTACATCAGAACTTGTTCCTTGGGATTATTTTCTTACTTGCATTGTAGCTCACCCTTTCAAACTTCGTGTCTGGTTTGTTTGTTTTTTAATCTTCTCTTTATCTTCTCTTTTTTTCTGGCCTTTTGAGATCAAAGTAATACACCTTCCATCTTTTTCAAGATTTTTTTCTTTATTATTATCTCTTGTTGAATTTTCTTTCCATGGATTGAGGTGGTACATACACCCAATAGATTGATATTGTCACAGCTTTAGGAACATATCCTACAGTGAGACTGCATTCCCATCTATAGATAAACCACACGTCCAAAAATATTCTGGCTGTAAAGGTGTCATGCATAAAGCTCATAAAAAGCGGAAGTGATAACTTCTTACCATATTGCTTAGCTTTGGCTTGGACCCCAAGTCTCTCATTTTCAGTCTCTTTTTCCCCGTTCTCCTTTCTCAGTGTGGAAAGAACAAGGTGCTCTTGGGTTGTGACTCATAAAACCAGTGGAAGCCAGCTTGTTTCACCTTGATCAAAGTTCCTCAAAGACTCTGGGTCTTCTGAAGTATTTGGAAAGACTTCTAGAGTCCTGAGCACCCCCCCAGGAGCACGTTTAAGGAAAAGACATACGCTCCTCCTTCTCATCAGCCACCTAAACTATGACCTGATAAACCAATGTCTGCTGAACTAAGTTCATCACAAATTCATATGCTTACTTTGAAATGTCCTCAATTTCTTGGCTTTGGGCAATTTCAAGACTTCATCTGACAGTTCCATTTTATCCCTATTTCCCTTTTAACTTGTAGCACTTTATTTTCAGCATATGCTGCCCATGAGAAAATAACATTAAGCTCCTACATTGCATACACTGTTTCTGTGATTAAACAATTGAGTTTCCCTTCTCTGTACGACCAGCTTCCCCCCTTTCTTTATAGAGACACTCTCTAAGAACCTGTTTTGGTGGAAAGTAGATGTTTAAACAACTCCAGCAGGTGATTCTCATGAGATAAAGGATTTGTAGCCATTAAACCCTGGTCCCAAAGAAAACCCAGGACTGCAGACATCTCTTGAGCTTACAGGCTACATCCGTGCCCCTGCTCCCCCTGTAGGCAAGTGGTCCAGCACTATGATTATATGACTGAACTGTCTTCACTCCCCAAAACAAAGAACACTCACTGCCTCCTGAGAACTGCCCTTGGCACGTGCTGTCCTCCAGCTGTGCCCAGGCATTGTCTGGGAGAAAGCTCAAAACTATGCCAAGGAGAGTATTAGCCATCAAACAGCATGAATGATCCAATGATAGAGCTGGTATCCTTGCTCTGCTTATTTCAGTAGCACAGATGGAGCCAAGGTTTCACACGTACTGTCACTCATCAATTTCACCCACACCTCACACATCAGTGCTGGGATCATCAGAGCTGGCTGCCAGGTACTTCCTCTCACAGCAGTATCTTTCTGCCTTTGGTTTGCAGTTGCCTGTTGGGAATCCAGGGTGTGTAGCCTGGCATATTAAAACAATGTAAGCCTGGGTAGCTGTGGTCCTACCCTCTCTCCCAGGGTTTGACTGTGTTTCCCTCAGCTTCTACTGAAATTAGCTGATTTCAGAATATTTATCTAACATACAAGAAAAGAGGTACAGCTGTAGTTTATAACTGCAAGGC